AATTACCACTGTTTCCAAAACACTGTTTTGTCTTTAAATGATTAAAATGTTACCAAATATTATTACTGTATAGCTGGATAAGGCCTGCCTCCCTGAAGGGTTCAGTCAGGCTCTGCTTCACTGTGGTGTCAGCAGGAGTATTTGCTGGAACCGATCAGCTGGAACTCATCCTCCAGCTGCTCCGTTATGTGGGTTGATATTCTTGCATTTGTTTACATTTAATAAATACATTTATTTGTCATATTTGTGAACACATCTTTGTAAAAACTCTTTGAGCACAGACTCACACATTTGTAGTTGTAGCCCCTGACGTGGTGACCACGTCATCCACCTCAACCTCCACCAAACCAGAGCCCAGCTCACCCCACCTGCCCCCCAACCCATTTTTAAATAAATCCCACCTGCGTTATTTCAATGCTAGTTGAAACTATTTGCCATTGAGTGAGTCCATCCTCGGGTAAGAATAATTATTTAACAATCTCCCTCCTCAACCATCAGCGTGAGAATGCTCACAAATATGTTACTCACATCCCTTGAGTGTGTGTGTGTTTGTGTGTGTTATCCTCCCCCTTTTAAACTACACTGGCACCTTCAGCACTGACACTGCCATAAACACAGACACCCTCTGTTACCCTAATTATATTTTTTATCTTATTTTATAGGCTCACCACCAACTTAAAATGTATTTGCCAGTATGCAGTTGAGATATACACTTTCTGTAGGTAAAAGGGAAGAAACTCTTCAGTACCAGCCTGTCCCTGCCTCTATCCTCTTGCCTCTCTCTCTTATTCTGCTTATTTACAATCAAACTCACTAAAAGGTCTCTACCAAAGGAGTAAATGCAAATTTAAAAGCATTAAGCTTGAAGGATGTTATAAGCTTAGTATAATTTTATTAAAATGCAACTTCAAACAGACACATTCTCTGAAATATTCCTCATGCAATAACAAATATGACACCTTTACTCACTTGTAATTTCTCACTCTGTCTTAACTGTGTTGAATAGATTTCAATTGCCACCTGCTCTGTTTTATTACTCCTGGTTTTATTCTTATGCTCTAGGTCATGTCCAAGCGCATATAAGATTAGCTGTTCCAATTTTCTTGGCATCTCCTTCTTCCCTCCTCTCCTCTCCTCCCCTCCCCTCCTCCACATACTTCTGGGCAGGAGACGAATGGTAGTGGGGGAGTGGAGGAAAGGAAGAGAGGAGCAAAAGCGTCAAGATGCACCTCTTGATTGTGGGGGAGTGATGGTGTCACATGTGATGACTGAAGTTCTATGATAAAGGCAGAGAGAAAACTCTACCGTCCCTGGGTGGGCTCGAACCACCAACCTTTCGGTTAACAGCCGAACGCGCTAACCGATTGCGCCACAGAGACCAGGATGTACGTGCAGCCACCACCTGCTCCATTTTATTACACCTATATTACACATATAAGTCTCTCTGTGGAGCCATTGCAGTAGCAGGATATGTATGCTTGCTCGGCTCGCTAAGTCGGTTGACCCTGAGACCTTTCCTCTCAGGGTTGTGGGTTTGACACCTACGTTGAGTGATGCATTTTCTGCAAGCGCAGCAGTGACATGCAACAGATTAAACCATCAATGCCAGCCATGTGTATAAGTAGAGGTGGCATTTTTTTTGGGCCACTGAAGTACAGCGCTTTCCTCCTCATCCTCTCAATCATTTATTCATTTTTTTTTTCCCCAAACGGCAAGACGTAGACAAATAACGGGGTGCTGTGGCTTAGTTGGTGAAAGCGCCTGTCTAGTAAACAGGAGATCCTGGGTTCAAATCCCAGCAGTGCCTGTGCTCTCCTTTGTTTTTCTTCTGCAGAGCCAGTGCCTCACTTGGCCAGGTCACCAGTGTCCCACAGTACATGACCTCTGATTAAGGCAGGGGTGGGAAGGGGAAACCCTGTCAGTTGCCAACCAAGCTCAGACATTCATTCTTCCCAACAGCAATCATGCTCTTTTCCTGTGCTCAGAACATCTGATTCCATCAGGCAAGTCACTAGTGAGTCCTGTCCACCTAGGCGTATGTCCCAGGTAAGCTGGCCTTCTGATTACAGAATCCCGTTTTATTTGTACTTTTCCTATTTTTCTCGTCAAACACCATCCAAATCCTGTTCTTTGGGTCTTACTGGGAATCCCACTTTGTATACCCATTTGTGACCAAAAAGAACATTTGGCTGGCTGGACTAAAAATAAAAGTATACTCCACACACACACACACACACACACAAAACTCTTTTCCCTCCTTTTTTTCTTGTTCCTGCCTGCCCAGGAAGTAATATTTTGTCATATTTCACTCCCCCCACCTGGCTGAATGTTAAAGGGGTAGTGTCACATGCAAAATGTAGTGTTTTTTAACCATTTCATCACTATGTATGCTCTGACTGGCACACACACATAAAAACTAAATAAATAAAACAATCTTAGGAATCCTTCAACAGAATTTATAAATTTTTATCTTGCAAGGATTTCTTAATAAACCATTCATTATGTTTGGGCTGAAACATTAAAAAACACACACAATCAGCCTTAGTTCATTTGTGGTGGTATCACAATGCCTTGAATTCAGCATTGAACAGCCCCACAATACAAAACAGACAGTGTGCAGGAACAGTGCACTCACACAAATACATATTTTTCACACCTTTGATAGGTGTGACTGGGCATAGATATTGGCAGTGGATGGGCAATTATCCTCACCAAGAACACAGGCTTTGCGGGCCAGGGATATTCGACTCCTGGCCAGCACCAGCCACAACCTATGCCACTGTTTAACTTGCTCCTTGTCCAGGGCATGGGCTTCTTGGAGAAAATCAGTGGCAGCGTAGCAAACTCCAGCAGAAAGGCCTTGGGGTCGAAGGCTTTTCCAGCTTGGGTGCATTCCAGTTCTCAAAATTTGTATCCTCCTTCCCCCAACTACTACCCGGTCTCCTCCAGGTCCCGGAAACTTATATGTGTGTCCCCCCTCCCTCCAATGTTCCAACATCGTAGGAGGCGAGTGAAGGAGGCTAAACTCGTTTCCTTGTCTCCTCCAAACAAAGGATACGCCGATTTATCCTATGACCGGAGTGTTTTCGCATTTCTGTTTTTGGAAATATTGAGACATCATTTTGGACAACAGTGGCTGTCTTGATTACACATGTTTTCTGTAAGTCTTTATATTTCAAAAACTATGGCTCAGATTTGGACCATATTTTGTCCTAATAATAATTAGGATCCAAAACAACAACCAATGATTTCCAATCAATCCTCAGTACTCAAAGTTTAAACATTTATGAAAACATTGATCTGGCCCATAAGTTACAAGGTTATGGAATAAGATGATAAAAAGCAAAAAAAAAAAACAGTAACAAAATGCCTTATGACCAAATACTGAAAAGGTACAATAAAAAAATAGATGTTGTAGACATACATTTTTGTTGATTTATTTTTTTTCTTCAGATTTGTGCTTAGATAATCTCAGGGACTAACTGCAGCAAAATCCTGGAGGTGAAGCGTGGAAGGAATCCCATACAAATTTTTACCCCCATGCAGGGTTTTGTATGACGCTGGGACCATGTGGGCCTCCCTGCTGGTGGAGTGTGGGAAAAGAGGGACTTCGGTAAGGACCTTCTGGAGAATGCAGGCATCGATCCCGCTATGTCTCACATGCTGAGCGAGCGCTCTACCACTTGAGCTAACTCCCCACTGCCTTACATTGCTCCTCCTCCGTCCCCTGGATCTCTGCATGACCTTCCAAGAAGCGGCAGGATAGGAGAGCACTTTTTGGGAAATGGTGCCACCCCATGGCCATCAACATGTGGGTTCCATTAGCACTCTGGAGTCTGAATCCAGTGTACAGAAGCCCCTGCATACTGGCCGGTTAGCTCAGCTGGTTAGAGCGTGGTGCTAATAACGCCAAGGTCGCAGGTTCGACACCTGTACTGTCCAAGAGCCTTTGTAGGTAGTGCATTATTTTTTTATGCTCAGGCAAGGAAGGCTCTCGAACCCATGTGTGACCAGCAGGGATTCTCACCACTATTACTAACGAGGATGAGTACCACACAGGTTTTGCTTGAGTGTGAATACTCCATCCAATTGTACATGTGTGCTGCAGTATGCATGTCAGGTTTGCATCTGCTGAAGTTGTTCAGTTGGGAGAGCGTTAGACTGAAGATCTAAAGGTCCTGATTCTGGTTCGGTCTTGGGTTTCTGCAGCATTGTGGTTGTGCAGCAACTGAGGTTTTGATTTCAGTTTGCCATCAACCCCAAGGGAGCAGCCCTTGACCACGGAACACATCATTTGCAACAAGTGGGCAGTCAGTCTGAAGATGCATCCTTCCTCCCACCATAGCTGCACCCACAAACAGCTGCGCTTCAAAACAGATACCTTTGAAACGCATCTCCATAGTCACGTATAACTAGGGTTACATGTAAAATGACCCTTTTGGCCAATGGTTGGGTTTATGTTATATGTTCCAAGTTCCAAATACATGAAAAGCAGCCAGGATATTGATCCTGGAGTGCAATGCATAGAAACGCAACACTTGAGCTACTGCTCTTCCAACAAATACAGTTAGCAATGTCTTTTGCTAATATAGCTGACGGGAGAAGCAGATTAGCTGTTCCAATTTTCTTGGCATCTCCTCCTTCCCTCCTCTCCTCCCCTCCTCCACATACTTCCGAACAGGAGACGAATGGTAGTGGGGGAGTGGAGGAAATGAAGAGAGGAGCAAAAGCGTCAAAACACACCCCTTGATTGTGGGGGAAGGATGGTCAGCACCTGTTAGGGGGGTCACATGAGATCAGTGAAGTCCTACGATCGAGCCTGACAGAAAACTCAGCAGCCCCTGGGTGGGCTTGAATCACCAACATTTCAGTGAACAGCAGAACACGCAAACCGATTGCTCCACAGAGACCAAGTCACAGGCCCCTTTGCCACGTGCTCTGTTTTATTACTCCTCTTTTTGTCCTTAAACTCAAAGTTGATTCCATGGGCATGTGTGTTTGCCTGACTAGCTCAGTCGGTAGTACATGAGACTCTTAATCTCAGGGTTGTTGGTTTGAGCCCCACATTGGACGACATGTGTTTTGCAAGCTCAGCGGTGACCTGCAACAGATTAAACCGTCAAATGCGTAGAGGTGGCGTTTTGTCACACCTCTGAAGAAATGCTGCACTTTCCTCCACATCCTCTCAAGAGAGTGGGAGGAACCATGTCATCATGTTTATTTATTCATTTAGATGTTTTTTTCCAGACGGCAAAAGCAAAGAAAGTAAGGGAGGCGCCGTGGCTTAGTTGGTTAAAGCGCCTGTCTAGTAAACAGGAGATCCTGGGTTCAAATCCCAGCGGTGCCTGCACTCTGCGTCTCTTTTCTTCTGCAGAGCCAGTGCCTCACTTGGCCAGGTCACCAGTGTCCCACAGTACATGACCTCTGCTCACAGTAGGGGTGGGAAGGAGAAACCTTGTCAGTCACCAACCAAGCTCAGCCGTTCATTCTTCCTGACAGCAATAAGGCTCTTTTCTTGTGCTGATTCCATCAGGCAAGTCAGCTGTGAGTCCTGTCCGCCTAGGCGTATGTCCCGGGTAAGCTGGCCCTCTGATTACAGAATCCCATTTTATTCATAGTTTTCCTATTTTTTATATCAAACACCATCCAAATCCTGTTCATTGGGTCTTACTGGGAATCCATACTTTGTAGTCCAATTCGTGACATGTAAGTCTCACTGCGAAGCTATTGCAGTTGAAGAACATGCATGTCTGCCCGGCTAGCTCAGTCTGTAGAGCATGAGACTCTTATTCTCAGGGTCATACTGCACTTTTCTCCTCATCCTCTCAATCAAGTGAGGGGTACCATCTCATCATTTTTATTTATTCATTTATGTTTTTGTTTCCAAATGTCAAAACTGAGACAATAAGGGGGGCGCAGTGGCCCTGAGTCGTAATAGCAACAGACGCTATGTCAGCACTCAAACCGAAAGGCCTTGGGGTCGAAGGATTTCCTTGTGTTTGTTTATGTGAAATCATGACTCCAAACAGCAGAATGAGAGTGACTTACATTTGAATGGATAGACACCATCGATTTTTATGGTGGGAGAAGTGAATTAGCTGTTCCAATTTTCTTAGCATCTCCTCCTCCCCTCCTTTCCTCCACATACTTTCGGGCTGGAGACGAGAGGTAGTGGAGGAGTGGAGGAAAGGAAGAGAGAAGCAAAGGTGTCAAAACGCACCTCTTGCTTGTGGGGGAACGATGGTTGGTTGTACTTGATCACCCAGAGCCTCCGCGGTTCATCAGACTCCTACAATAAAGACGGAGAGAAAACTCAGCCGTCCCTGGGTGGGCTCGAACCACCAACCATTCAGTTCAAACATCTGGCTTCATAAATGATCAAATTCTACAGCTACACACACTGAGTTGCACACATACACTCAGCTACATACACACACACAGTTAGCTCACTTGGTTAGCTCCATCCTGTTGTGAAATACTGCATGGTGACCATCCCCTAAAAATAAATGTCAGAACAGAGGAAGAGCAAATGCCAGTAACCCCTTAGATTAGGGAAGAGAGCAAAGTGAGATAAAATATAACACTGATTGCCTGCTGTTGAAGAAGCAGAATGATTCACACTCATGAGTCACATGATGAGACACATACAAACCTGTACAGAGATGTCAGTTCAGCTCTTTACTTTTTATATTACATATCAGCTAGAGGCGGCTGGTCTAAGACTACAAAGGAAGTCCGGCCTCCTCTAAAATGTCACGAAAAAAGTATGTCAATAAAATATGTAATATCGTATTTACATTGCTTAACTCTTTTCTCCAGATCAATCTTTTGGGCTAGAAAGTGTTCAGCTTCACAGCTGGTTCGTTCAGCAGTAATTTCTCTCGGGTCGTCAAAATCAAAAGCAATATTTTTCTCATGGAAGCCCGTGGAAGCACGACCTATTTAAACCCATGGAGGCTGCTCTGGGGTTCAATGGTACTTCAGATGCCACACACACACACACACACACTGAGTGTAAATGCAATAAATGAGGCAAAGCTAGACATTTACTAGACTGGACGATTTGTATTGCCACCACTGATATCAATCTTTATTTTAAAACAGGAAACATACTAATGTAGCACTCAGTCACTGAAAGGTTGCACTGGTGAACACTTTCACACAAAACAAGATAAGAAGTTCCTCATTTGTTCATCCTGTCTGTTTCAGTGCAGAGTAATCTACAGTACAGTGTTTCAGAGCAGAGTAATCTACAGTACACTGTGTTTCAGAGCAGAGTAATCTACAGTACACTGTGTTTCAGAGCAGAGTAATATACAGTACACTGTGTTTCAGAGCAGAGTAATCTACAGTACACTGTGTTTCAGAGCAGAGTTAAGTACAGCACAGGTCATATTAGAGAAAATGGACCCTGATGCAGTTTATTTAAACATGTCAGACTTTCCAGAGACCATGACTGGAGTGAAGTGTAACAGCCCAAAAGGTAAGATATTAAAACCAACCTAGCTATGCTGGTAGCTCAACTATATTCAGCTCTAGCTGTGCAGGTAGCAGGACTATATTCAGCTCTAGCTGTGCTGGTAGCAGGACTGTGTTCAGCTCTAGCTGTGCTGGTAGCAGGACTGTGTTCAGCTCTAGCTGTGCTGGGAGCAGGACTATGTTCAGCTCTAGCTGTGCTGGGAGCAGGACTGTGTTCAGCTCTAGCTGTGCTGGGAGCAGGACTGTGTTCAGCTCTAGCTGTGCTGGGAGCAGGACTGTGTTCAGCTCTGGCTGTGCTGGTAGCAGGACTGTGTTCAGCTCTGGTTGTGCTAGTAGCAGGACTGTGTTCAGCTCTAGCTATGCTGGTAGCAGGACTGTGTTCAGCTCTAGCTGTGCTGGAATCATGTGCTATGGCATCCTACTCCTGAGTTGGTGGGAGCAGGTTGCTGCGGTGGGATAAACGGTTTTGCTGTGTTCAGGATGGGAAAAATGCCAACAAAAAAAAAAAACACACCCCAAAAATAAGTCTGAGGCTAAAACCAGCAGTTCACGCTGGCTTACATGCAACTGCCCCTGGGAGACAATTACCATTGGTCACATGATTTTAAATCTTCAGAAAATTTTTAAAAATATTATGATGATGGAATAGAGATGGCAATTTCTATCCTCATTCAGAATGAATATTATGTCTGTTTCACCACTCAGTATCACCATTGAGTTTTTTTTCTTTTTCATTCTCCTGGCAGGAAAGTCAGAAAATCTTTACCAAAATATGAGGCTGGAACCAACTGGAGTTGCCTCTCCTGCAGCTGCCCCTGGGAGCCAATCAGCAGGTAGAATGCAGCTTGGATCTATGCCATCAGTCAGATGTATTCAAATCTTTAAAGATATTCTGATGAAATAGAGATGGCAGATTCTACCAGCATTCAGAACTACATAAATGTATGTTCTTTACTTCCTCAGAAGGGCAGCTTGGAAAAGAGTCTCTGTGCAAGAAGACATCACTGCTGTTCATCTGTCTGTGGATAGTCACTCTAATCTCTCTCATCACCATACTGGGCCTCTACTGTAAGTGTTAATGAGGAGTTTAATATTGGAACAGAACCATTGTATGTCAGTATGTTAAGTATGTCATAGTAGCGTGCAGGTATCACAACATTTAAATAAGATATTGTCTGTGTTAAAATTTTGGAAATGTTTTCCTTAAATTAATATGTTTTGACAAAGTCAAACAGAGCTCAGCCCTGCAGAGTGAACTGAAGGAGCAACAGCGGAACTCTTCCGCTCATATCACAGGTGAGAGTAGATTTACGCTCTTGTTCACTGGTTAGCGTTGACTTATTAATACATCTCAATTGTCATTAAACTAAATCACTGCCAGTGATTGGATTGAGCTACAGCAATCACCCCAGCTGTGCGGCTTTGTAACTGCATCTGTTTTACACATAAACTGTGCTCATTTGATTGAGCGCCTTGCCATGTGACTCTGGACCTTTTTGTGAGTGGAAACATTTTCCTATTTAATGAAGGCTAAATAACATTGCGGTCATTCCATGTGAAATCACTGGGCCCATACACCATTTGTCACAGATATTTGTGACACTTTTCTGGATGATACATATTGATTTCAAAGTTAATGTTTGAGCATTGTTGTTGAAAATATTGAGACATCAGTTTGGACAAAAGTGGCCGTCTTGATTACACATGTTTTCTGGAAGTCTTTATATTTCAAAACTATGGCTCAGATTTGGACCATATTTTGTCCTAATACTAATTACGATCCAAAACAACAGCCAATGACTGCTCAACCCTCAGTACACAAAGCTTAAACATTTAGCAAAACAGCACATCAATTATTTATTACTTAAATGTTTTAACAAGCTCATGTTGTCCAGTAAATTTTTCAAACCATGGATAATTGCTGTGCAGAAAAAAGGAAGATGTATTTTTTTTGTACCAATATATGGTTATTCATGTTCAAATTATGATAATTCATAATTTGAGCTGAAGAAAGTCACCCATAAAAGCTCGTTATGTTCCTCCTGTCTCCTATATGGCTCTAGTGGAATATCCTCCCTGTCCTTAAATGAGTGTCTCTCTGTTAACACAGAGCTGGAGAAACAGCTGGGCGAGAAGGAGCAGGAGCTCTCCCAGCTACGGTCCAGATACAACAGTGGGATTTGCTCCTGCAATGATACAAACAATACAGGTAATATCTAAAATACCTTTAAAAAAGTAAACGTAATGGTTTTGACATCAGACCATCTTCAGTTTCTTTAGCTTTTGTGCAGACAGGCAGCTGACAGTGAGGTATGAATCATGTGGCTTAAATCAGTATCTACAAACTATCGAGACATCGTCATATTTCCCTTAATGACTCAAATAATTTTTCGCGCATTTAACCGTCCGTTTGTTTTATGTTTTGCTCCACTCCAGTCAGAGGCCTTTTTGCTGAATTGTCACGTAAGTTGTGCTCCTTCACATACATTAGCGTAATAACTCACACACACATACATACATACATACACTAACACTGCACTAACAATGCAGTTGTATTTAACCTTTAAATCGGTGAATGAAATTCATTCCACATT